AGTTGTTTAAGTTCTCCAAAAGCATTTTTAGATTAATGTTCGAGTTTATATTTAATTCTGATTATATTATGATTATGCTTTCGATAGTAGATTACTTTAATTTAAAGATTTCGGTCAAATAAAACCATGATCTTTACTCGTAGKTATATTTTTAGTTAAATAATAATATATTAGTAGAAACTATATTCTTTTGAAATTAAAATAATTATATTTTTCATTGATTTGATTATAAAACATATGTTTTTTGTATAAAAACTGTACGATCAATACAAAAATATACATTATTCAATATTTCAATTAAAGATATAAAATGGTTGTAAACACCTTGTAAGCTATTATTATCAATAGTTATCAATAGTTTTACCTATTTCATGTTTCATTCAGGTTTTTCGCACTGATATTTCAACCATGGATAGCTGTAACTTAGTTGACGAAAATACATCTCAATTATCAGAAATTCAATCATTTTATAATGATCAAACAATATTTTTAACTGGTGGTACTGGATTCATGGGAATTTTAATACTGGATAAATTAATAAGGTAAGAATTGTATGCCTTTATTTTTAACAAATAACAGCACTCATTAAATATAATATTTACATATAACCAGTATTTATTATATATATGAAGCATTGGCATATATTAGTTTGTGTTCTTAATTATTTATAAACCATTTTATCGAATAACCATATTTTATAACATTATGTAAATTAAATAAAAAATGTTTCTACAAATTCAAAAATGTTTTCATGCAACTGAAAGAATATATGTGAAGTTAATGTATTTATTAATATAAAATTAAATACATATACGAAACAATACATATATTTATATTAATTATTCTGATGTTTTATGTTAAAAAATAGCAGACGCAATATGATTTATAACATTTAAGACTAAATAATGCTTGTAGTGTTGTAATAATAAGTTAAAAAAAGTGGATGAGTGAATATCGTTCTGCTGTTCAGTAGTTTACAACTTTACAAATGAATCCAATGATATGATATGATATTGTATACTTAAAACGATTCTGAGTGCAGAMGGTTTGTCAGTCTAGGATATGCTATACTATATTAATTATATTGTTATTATTTCAAAAAAAAAAGTGTAGGTATCTATAAAATAAATCAGATTAATTATGTACCCGGACTCACTCGGTCATTCATAGAAGGTATATACACAATTTATTATAAAGTGTTAATATATAAGGCATTAACGATATTAACTATTAATATTAGAATATAAAGTAAACTATAGAAATTTAAATGCCAAGCATTGGAAATTCTAATATAAATATTCAGTGAAAATTTTATGTGTCTAGGGTAATTTTTTTTAGAGTTACATCATTATCTAAAATCGATTTTCTCAAAAATTGATTTTGCGTAAAAATTACCGTTTTTTCTTATTTTATTTATTTTTTTATTTGTTTTTCCCGGTGCTTTTGAAAACTATTGGAAATTTCAAATGTCTATAAATTACTTAAATATTTTGAAAATTGTATCAAGTATAAAAAATACCAGTATAAACATTCAGTGAAAATTGTATGTGTCTACGGTAATTTGTTTTAGAGTTATGCTTATATAAAAATTCGATTTTGTRTGAAAATTCCTGTTTTTCCTTAATTCATTATGCTTTTGAAAACTACTGGGAAATTTAAAATTAGACCTGCCCAATGCACCAACTAGATTCACTTTCCAACCGGAAAAGCTACTGAAGTTGAAAATCGAATCATTATTTCGACAACTTATCGTATGTACACAGACACACAGACACACACACACACCATTATAAAAATCAATACATTCATCGCTCCGCTCAGAATCTAAAATGA